TGGCAGGGGAGGTTTGTGCCGCCCAGTCCTTCGGCTTTCCCTGCCTGTCTGCGCTGGTCTCCTCCTTGCCCTGTAAGATCTTGCGGCGCGGGCAAGCAGACGGTGGGATGGAGAAGGCAGATGGCTACAAAGACAGACATCCCCCCAAAATAAGCCCTAATGAGTTTTTTGGTCCTATATATAAAATCAGTGGTGGGATTCAAATATGTGAACAACCAGTTCTCTGTCTGGATTCTACTTCCGGAAATCCATTCTGGGCCCGGGCAACAAAAAATTAGCTACCGGTTCTGCCAAAGTGGTGCAAACTGGCTGAATCCCACCACTGTATAAGACCCAGTCTTATTCTGGGGGAAACGCGGTACCTCAGGTTATTCCTCAAAAGTCATTTATTCTTCCAGAACCACTAGGAATGTTTACATATTTGTTCTTTTAGAGAAAACATATTCTGATCTATAATAGAAGAACCATCATATACCCCCAATACTGTCTTACTGTCTAAAATGACCTCTTATTGACCCTCATCCAAAATATTACCTGACTGAGCATGATCACTTTCACACTTCATCTAAATATCTCAGTGACTAAAGCAGGTTCATATTTATTGGGGTAGGTCTTTCTAAGCCTTGTTTCTCAACCTAATGAACTTTAAGATGTGTGGGCTGGGGAATTCTGCGAATTGAATTATGAACAACCTTAAAATTCATAAGGATGAGAAACACTGGTTTAGGCAGGTATCTTATTCCAGCTTCTTCAACTTGGTGCCCTCCATGTGTGTCAAACTGCAAATCCTATGATTCTCAGGCAATGGGTATGTTTATGAGAAATAGAGATCAACTTCTGACATGCCCTGTCTGTCTGTCTGTCTGTCTCCTTCACTGGTAAAGTTTTGGGATGATGTGGGAATTGCCTTTAAAAAGAAATCAAGGGTTTGCAACTAGAGTGCATGCTGGCTGCACAGAAATGGTTGTGGAGAACTGCATAAGTACCCAGCCATGAATGGACAAATGATTCAATTAGCCCACAATTACTGGGGAGCTGGGCGACTTTCCTAGATATGGGAGGTCTTTGGGTGTCCAGAAGTCTGAAGATATCATAGACGAGGAACTTTTGTTTTGAGCGTCTGCCAGAAAGATGTTTTTATTTATATAGACAGCAATCTTATTTTTTAAAATCGGACCGCAGAAACGTAATAAGGGAAGGAAAGGTTGCATGCTTTTGTGTCTATACCTAATCCTATGGAGATCATTTTGAAAGTAGTTGAAAGAAACAGAAGATGGAAGGAGCAGAGAATTTGCTGAAATTTCCCATTTACAACAAGATAGTGATGATGGCAGACATCAGAAACCCAGTACTAGTACAATATACGTGGATGGATGGATGGAATTATTTGTTTTTATAGCTCTCTCCCCTTCTCTATTTGCTGAGAAGAGATAAACATAGAATACAGAAACAATGTGCTGCTTTTTTAAGAGAGGAAATCCTTTATAAATTGGATTAAGGGATGTTAGTCATTGCTGGCTACTTCTCAAACAGAAGTCAGACACTGAAAATCTTTGCCATTCACAAAAAAGTGTATATATAAACCTTTAGTCTGACTGGTTTAAAATATGTCTGGGTCAGAGGGGGAGGGGAGTAGAGGTTTTGGTTTGTTTGTTTTTTTGAATTGTGAACTATTTTAAGGATGCACCATCTTTCTTCCTTCCCACTTCCCTGGTGCACATAAATGCTAGAGTTAAACACTGCTAGAAGCATCCCTTTGAGTCTGTGAAAAGTACAGTGCAAATCCACCATTAAACAAATTCATATTTTCCTCTGAAGCCACACTGAAAAAGCCAACCTCTCTCCCAACTCCTTATGCAGCGTTTTCCAAGGGAAACTTCCTGTGGCTATTCTCAAGGCAAAATATCCCAGACCAAGGATATTTATATTATGAGGAAAGCAAGCAGGATCTTTAAAAGAAAATGGATGGGGCTGGGGGGGGGAGAAACGGGAGGGAGAAAAGAGGGGAGGGGAGGGGGACGCGTTCTTTCACTCCAAAGAGGGTTTATTCATTTAGTGGCTTTGCCACTGCAACTCAGCCTACATTTACACAGCACCCCATGCGGTTGAGGGGGAGGGAGAAGCAAGAATGTAATTGAAGCCACTGAAAATAACCCATTGGCAAAATGACACTAGTTATTCAGCTTAGGCTTCTTTCAACAGTTCTCATGGCCATAATTCCAGAGATGTTTTTGCCAACACACCAAAGAAACAGTTGCTTTTCTTCTCCCCGCCCCCCCCATCACAAAAGAGGCATTGCCAGGCACCCCAGAAAAGCAGATTACAAGATCTGCAGCGAAGGGGTTATAGCCAATTCAACCTAACCCAGTGGGTAACAGAATGTATTTCTCAAGCCCTTTACAAACACCCCGCCCTCTTCTGCTCACCCCAAACAAAATAAATAAATAAATAAATAAATAATTCAGTGAGCCTGACTCAGCAGTCTGACAGGAATAACAGCCTGCCCAGTTATGAAATGCTGGCTTAAGCCAGGCAGTAATTATTCTTTTTCTTCTTTGGAAGACACAGGAGGCTGCGAACACAGGAGGCTTCAGCTAAAACATTTTCATAAACTAAATTGGGGAGAAAATTGTCTGCCGCTTTTGTGTATCCTAGTGTGTCAAGATGAATAGTGCTTGTGTGCACACACACACACACACAGAGGGATCAAAGAGACTATTGCCTGAGAATGGAGGCATTGCTATGAAGTTTTATCTGCTTGCAATCTTAAGATAGGCAAATAGCAGAATCGGGAAAACCATTTCTTTAATGCCAGCATCCCACAGACTCAGGCTGTGTTTGGCAACAGTCTATAGATAAGAATCTAGCTGCTTAGATTGACTATTAAGTAGAGCTGAACTTGTATCAACTATTCTAAATAATAAATGATAACACATTTTATCTATTCAGTGACTCATTTCTTATCATGTGAAAGATATCCCACAGAAGCTGTTAGTCAAAAAAAAAAAAAAAAAGGAGTGAGCTCTACACAACATCCCCCTGACAATGGTTGAAAAACCACTGCCATCATAAAAGCTTCTGGTGAGTATTCTGTGCTGCATAAATAAACTTGTCGATCAAGGTTATCAGCCCATAAGCTATGATGATTTTCCAGTGTTCATTTGTTGCACTTAGTATCCCTCTTTGTTTTTAAGAATGTTCTCTTATTAAAAGCTATACAACACTTTCACAAATCAGTAGCGGTCATAAGCATCTCTAAGTTTGGACTATTTTATCCACCATCCTAAAAAGGCAAAGTTGTCCTTTATTTAGCCAGTTACTGAAAACCCCTTTTCTAAGACTTGTCTAAATGTCTGATCAAGAAGTGCTTATTGTTTAGGAACTAAATTACAAACTAGCAGTCAGAATTTTTTTTAAAAAAAGATCTTCTCAGCTGAATCAATAAATCTGCAAATAAACAAAGATGTTTCTGATCAATCTCCTAATGTTCCATTGAGCTCAAGCACAATTGAGAAAAACAGATCACCTCCCACTCTTCTAGCCTACAGTTACACTACAGATCAACTGTCACTTCTGTTGCCAACCTTATCCAAGTTGGGAAAACAACCCTAAAGGCTAATTAAATCTCAGGCAGAGCCAATGATTAAAACAGAATGTGGCACAGTCCTAATAAGGTAGATTTCAAACACAAGAGCCCTTTCTCTTTTCTCAGCAGAAGTTACCTCTAGGATAAGGTTGGAGACCAAGAACCAATTGGGAGAAGGATTGGGAGGGGGGAGGTAGAAGAAAATGTAATTTGGGAAAGAATCTAGATAACCTTCACTTTTCCCACCTCATACCAATTCTGTGACCATTCAAACCTTTATGTCCCAATGTCTGCAATCATTACTTCTTCCCCCTTCTCTACACATACCTTTAGTGTTGCTAAATTATTTTTGTTACTGAATAGAAATGTCTTGATTCTCTAAGACAGCTTTGTAGGCTGACACAAAGAGACCCCCCCTCCGCCCGCCCCCCCCAACAAAAACCTGTTACCGGATTGAATGGCAAATGCATTTTTGTAACTTAACTTTCTAAAGGAAGCCAAAAATAAAATGGAGGCACACAGAAAATCCCCAAGTAAATACTTTTTGTTTGATTCTCAGTCAAGGAGTGGGCTGTGTTTCTGAAGCCTGGAAAAAAACAGAATTCCTGAATAATCATCTTAGCTATTCAGAGGCAGAAAAATAATTGATGGTCTACAATTTGTGCAGTTGAAACTCAAGAGATCTCCTGCATTCCACCATTGTTTATACTTTTGAATCAGCTTTGACAGAGGCTGTGGAAAGAGGAACATTTTAACAGGCCCATTCATGCCTTTATTAGAACAATTAAGGGACTCCTATAGTTTTAGCTGTAAAAGAATGAGACCCAATTAAATGAACTCCAAAGTAGAAATGCTCCAACTGCTAGGACAATGTAGAAGAGTAGTGTTATTTAAATAATCCAGATAAAGTCTTATATTAAAATTTCCTAAGATAAAACTCTCCTTTATATCACAGTTCTCAGACAGGTTAAGGAAACGTTCTCTCACTTCAGTACTTTGATGACCAGCCTAAAGTAAATACTTGAATTGTACCTGTTGGGATATGTCTCCTCTTATTTAAAATGTGGACATTAGTTTAACTAGAAATAACTGATGAATCAACTAATGTCACCCTCTTTTGAGCAGCTTTATTAAGGTCTGGTATACTTGGAACAGCCTTTATCAAGCAAAATGAAGTTGTCTTCAAGTTGACCTCAGCTCCTGATGATTCACATCTACCAAGAAAAATAAAACTAACAAGTCCAAACCTACTTGATCAAGCAATAGATGTAACTGCTTCCCAGCTCTTCAGTATTCAGAGCAACCTGAAGTATATAAAATCCTAAAATTCTCCTTTATTGGTACTAAAAAGTCTGGATAATTGAATGGTCAACTTCTTTTCCAGTACTTTATTAAAGCAGCAATTCAAAATTTCTTAATGTCTATTAAGAATCTCCATAGACATTTTTCCAAAATACAGCTCCACAGATTTAACAATCATCAGCCATCCCCCAAAGGGGTCAAAAATAATTTCTTTAGATTTCCTCCAAAAATATTTGGAACACGAAGGAGCATTAAGAACTTCCATCTTGGATCTTGCCTTGGATGAAGCATTACAGAAGCATCCTGTAATCAGAAATCTAACTATATTTTTGACACATCTGTTACCTTTTTCATGACCTTTCATCAAGGCTCCAACATGCCTTTCCGTGGTCTTCTGCTTAATGTCTTACCTTCTGCAGTTATGCAAAGCAGATTTGCTAGTATCCCATATGACAAATGCCTATCTTCATGCTTTTCTAGATCTGATAAATAAATTGTCTGCTGAAATATTAAGTGAATTCCTAAATTGTCTAGAACAGGGGTGTCAAACTGCCGGCTTGCGGGCCGGATGCATCATACTGAAACTGCGCTCACCCCATTGCCGGCAATGGAAAAAAAGTCACGATACGTCTCAACATGTCACGTGACTGTTGCGAGTTTGACATCCCTGGTCTAGAAGTTCTGAGCATGGATGGTGGTTCAACAGATACCAGTAAATTAGAATCCCAGGAATTATCACTGCCATCCTGGCTGGAGAAGTTAGGAGTTATAGTTAGGAGGACCAATAACTCCTTACCTCTAATTGGAAAGCCAGTCATGTAATTTAAAGTTCAATAATGAACACTTTCCTCTTTAAAACTCATTATGTTGATTGGCTTCCAGTAAATTCTTTTTCTAATTTACACACAGAAGCAAGCCACATTAAAATAAATGTAAACTGTGGGTCTTTTTTAACAGGCATGGTGGGATAAACCACTCTTTATTCAGAAATATATTCCCTTAAACTGATGAGAGAAGCAAACGTTTTTTCTTCTTGCCAATAAATCAGCCAGGCCCAAAGAAATAGTCCATTAAATTATCTCCAATGTCTTAATTACTAGCTATCTTTAGTCAGTTGCCCAAAACAAGCAGGGAGACTGTCCTAAAACTGCCAGATCACTTCTGGCAAATCTCATTCTGATGCAAAATAATCTTGCTGACCATCAGGACTGCCACCTCTGAGAACAAAGAGAAGTTAGGTCAGCTTCAAATGGATGAGAAGGGAAGGCCAGCACTCTTGCTCCTTTCTTATAAACTAACCCTTCTAACAGCATTTTGTCATGCAGGACTAAGCATACTCCCAAAAACAAGCAAGCAAACAAAAGAAAATATCCTTAATATTGTAGTTGACTTATGTTCATGGGAGCTAATAACCAATCCATATGGAAGGTACCATATAACAAAAATGCAAAGAATTTCACCCATGTGCTAGTTTCCTATCAGCTCGTGCATCCAAAAACAGGATCTTGCTGCCTCATGTCACCATCGCTGACTATAGGGGGCGAAACTCTGGCCCCCTCGGAGAGGGCGCGCAACTTGGGAGTCCTCCTGGATTCGCGGCTGGCACTGGATGACCATTTGTCGGCCGTGACCAGGGGGGCGTTTTATCAGGTTCGCCTGATCCACCAGTTGCGGCCTTTTCTGGACCGGGACGCTCTGCGCACAGTCACTCATGCCCT